ACTGTGTAAAAACAAAGCGACTGAGAGTCTACGACCACATGAGCAACCGGCTTAAAAGTGCTGTGATTGGCCAGAAGGCGTGCCTTATGGCCAATCAATGGCCGCGTGACGTGACGCACACTTTGAAAAAAGCAATTAGAGAGAAGAAAGATAAAATGGAGTCGATAAGATATCGATACTTTAAATCCTGGGGGCAAGGCTCGAAATTGGTTTAAAAAATGCTTGTATGAAAACCTTTTTATTATTATACGTTATTATTATGTTCTTTAACGATTTTTGCATAAAGGAGTCAGTTCCATTTTGTATGGACGAAAAACTCAGAATCAATTATTGGGACTAAATGAAGTTACCTTATATTAATTTACCCCAACCAAAGCTCAATGTCGTTATCGATGGAGTATAGAAGTTATAGACTGACAAAGTTTGTATGAAAAGTCATGGGTTAAGTAGGTACTTGCGATTTTTACCAGTATTTACAATATTGGTAATATATTATTATTTACTTTAATAATAATAACAGGATCACTGTAATTATTATTAACTACTATCGCGCATTAACTTTTTAATTATGGCGAAATTCGTACCGCCTATGTTTATCAAAAATAATGCCTATATTAGGCTTTCAACTAGCTCTTATAGTAATTACATAGTTGACAGTTACTAATCCCTTCTACTATTGTTATTGTTTTTGTAAAAACTTAAAAATCGCAAGCAACTCATGATTTTTTCATTCAAAATTAGAAAATAGAAAATAATAATTTACTTCTATTTATCGATAATAGGAAACCGTATTAGAACACGAGCCCTGCACTATGTTACGACCGGCACATGCGGCCGTACTGTGTATTTTCACGCGTCAGTGGATATCGGAAGAAATAAAATACATTGCGCAGTAGTTACGCATGACATAAAGTGGTTGCTAACTAAATCGTCAATGTACAACGTGTTTGAATTTTTATCACCACTAATTTCGATATCGCAGTAAATGTCACGGCACTGAATTCGTTCGTAAAAATGTTTAGTTTTTTTTATTTATAAGCAAAATACCAATGGATTTGCAATACTTACATGTGGTAAATAACTTCATTGTTCCTGTAGTTCTTCGTTTCACTTATGTTATTGCACGTTACGACGCATTATCCAACAATATCGGAGAACATTTCCTCAGTACGACTGAATCGCGACTAACCTGGCGTCGCGGGCGATGTTCGTTTCTGGGCATATCGCGGAGACACGCGCCACGCCCCCGTTTCACATCTATTCCCTTCTATGATCTGAGGAGCGTGCCAATACGTATGCGGCGCGCACGCACACACTGAAAAAATTCGGCGCAACACCCCGCTAATCCACGCTAAATGCAAAATTTAGCGTGGATTAGCGAGCGCTCACATACAAACCGCGCTCGGTGCGTTTCTATGAAGATAACCTACTCATTTTTTGTATTTACTTTGGTTATAGTTACCGTTTAAGTTACGTGGTGCAACTCAGCCTTCTCAATAACTGTTTTAAGTAAGTACCTACCATTAGCTATAAGCGCGCACGCTTGGATTTCTTTTAATTCAGTTTTAAGAGAATCTTCTTAATATAGATTTTAGGCTATTTGAGGTCCGATCATAAAGAATACACTGGCTGTTTCTTGAAGTCGCTGCAGGTCTATAAAAACAAATCTATAAAAACAAATACAGGGTCAGCAAAAAGATAATTATGCCAACCGCTCGCAAAACATGTGAATTTTCCTGTATGATTATAAAATAATATGACACAGTACAGAAAATTTTCCATGTATGTTCATTTATAATGCCTACGGCTTATCATACGTAATTATATCATGAGCAGTTCAAATTTTCCTAATTGGAAATACCTATTATAAAATTATACCTGTACGATGGAAACATTACTGAATCTCATTATTGCATTTCCCTAATTAAAAGTACAGTCAACAATATCAAATTACTTCAGAGTGAAAAAATCATCGATTGATTTTCAACGTTACTCCAAAAGACATAAAGTCTAAAATACATTGCAGCACTTTAAATTAAGTTTATATGGTTTACTGTACAATATAAACACTAGAGGTGTTGCATTTAATGTGCAGTTTAATGAAGCCTTTATTGGTTTAATGTAAAAAATATGGTAATTTGTCGCTTCATGGAGTTTTTAAATGAAAACATTATTTTACAACGAATTTCACCCGGTATAAGCCTAGGACACATAATTTACCTAATTGTATACTGTCTAGGGTGGGTTGTAAATTTACCATTAGTAACACCACAGAATAATAATGGTAACACTAATGTCACGCTATAGATGCAACATTTTAAGTTTGTTACATGATTTTTAAAAAACATAAACCTCCTTCTGGCGCAATCGGGTAAAAACGAAGCGCTCGTAATTTCTTTTTCTTTTTCTTTTAGTTGGATTAGCATAATCTTTTTTGTATGAGATTTTGATCGTACGCGAGATCTGTGATTACAATATTAAATGTTAGATTATTTAAGAAAAAAATTACACGGGCGCATAGATTCTGCTTGGCTTTACCCTGGATCATATAGCACAGAAAACGCTACTGTAAAAATTATCCCACCAAAAACATTCTGTAAAAAACTAGCCAAGTCTCGATGAAGCTGCTTGTTTATCTCTAAAAAGTAATGAAATCTAGACAAAGTCGTGCCAAGTCTATGGTTCTTTACTGCGATTTCTTTATTATTATAGTTAATGTTGTGTGACTTGGCCGTTGAAGAAAAAAAATCTGGACACCGCGGTGCAGAAAATCGACGCTCAAAGTGCTAGCGCCATCTAGCGGTGAGTGGTACAGGCGAACACCACGGTGCCGGTGTGGCGCTAGTAGTATTGATTATGAATGTGGTGTTACTCCAGATCTTCGATTTTCCTAGTTTTTATAGTTTTCCCTTTATGTGGCCATTAAACCCTAACTCTGTACCAAATTTCAGCTCTCTGAGTTAATGGGAAGTACTAGTTCTATTTTGATGATCATCAGTGAGTGAGTGTCATAAATGCGAAACTTTGCTTTCGCTTAACTTCGGAACTAAATGACCTACAGACTTGAAATTTTGGATTTTAACTATGTGATCATAGCTTACTAGATGACGAAAATTTCTGCGTTCTAGTATTATCCAGAGGTTCTCAAATAGGGGCCTGAAAATGCGGCGAAATGGTTCCAGTAAAGGATGGTACGGCAGTGTTTGCTTCGCGCTCGACTTGGCGGGGGCACTGCCGTGCCCCCAGAACTATTCCGATCCAAAATCATAACTTTGAATTTTTGCACTTGAGAAATATTTATCTCTCTATAAAAAGGTATTTTATATGTATAAAAATATGCAAAATACAGGGCCGGATTAACCATCTAGGGGCCCCTAGGCACAGCTCGTTTTGGGCCCCCCCACAAAACCGCAATTTGGAAATTTTTACTGTCTACATTACGAAATAGAATGAAGGTACCATTATCATCAACAACAGACTTCAGTCATCACATTGCAAAGGTATACGCCTTCCTTCAAGTGAAAAGACTTTCGCCACTATCTAGTACCTACGCTGTATCCGAGTCATTTAAAAATGAAAAATAGAATAGGAAAATCTTGCATATTTTTATAAAACTAACATAAACATTAAAAAATAAAAATGTACATAAAGTCATGTAAACCAAAGCAGTAATGCCAAATTGCCAACTAGGCCAGTAGAATAAGACATGAAAATCAAACAATTCGGAAATTAAATAATTCCTACAAAAGGTTTTCTTGTTTTTGCCCGCGTGAAATTTCGTTGCCACAGATCGTCATAAATTATAGCCTATAGTTTATTCTAGGTTATAAACAATAATACTCTAAAGTTTCATAAAAATCCGTTCAGTAGTTTTTGCGTGGAAGAGTAACAAACATCCAGACATCCAGACATCCAAACTTTCGCATTTATAATATTAGTAAAATGGTTTCATTTGTTGCTCTTTAAGACTATCCTAGGTTTTCGACTTCGACGAAGTTGTGCTTAAAAGTGGTGTAGCTCCCCGAAAGGGACATTTCTGCGGTTTTACGGTATACCGTGTAAAGGACTTGCAGTATCGAAAACTGATCTTCATGATGATTGAAGGGCATTTAATCCTGCATTGAATAAGACCAAATTCATATATTTTGGACAAACCGTTCTCGTGCCTATCTTCGACAAAGAAGAAAATATAGTCGGCCGTTTGGTGTAGTGGTTCAGAACGGACTACTATGCCGAGAGGTCCCGGGTTTTTAATTTCTGTGACGGGTCTGGGTGTTACTATGTATAATATGTATGTATGTATTTAAAAAAAAGTATATAAGTAGTATATCCGTTAAGCTAGCACCCATAACACAAGCATATTAATTGCTTACTTTGGGGCTAGATGGCGCTGTGTGAGATTGTCCAAAGATATTTATTTATTTATTTATTTATACGTATAATTAATAACCCTTTCTACGTCCAATGGCTCGTCACCCGCAAGCTCCAAAGCCTTGAAAAGGGCCACCTTAACCAGCATATTCCTGTCAAGCCTCGCGAGTTGGATTCGTCTATCCTTATTCATCCCAGTGCAGCCGTTCCTTTACTACGGTTGCTGCACCCCTTCCTTGCACTCTCTTGAACGACTCTAGTGTTATCTACTGTGACTGCCCCTCTTCCTTGCACCCTCCTGCACGACTGCGTTGCCAAGTCTTACAGCTGGTCCAAGGTTCGACTCCAAAAATCAACAACAACAGGTTCATATTAAAACGCTGAACAGTTTGTTTGTTAGTTTGTTTGAACGCGCTAATCTCAGAAAGTAGTGGTTTGATTTAAATAATTAGTTCTGTGTGTACTAGCTCGTAAAAGGAAGGCTATAGGATATATACCATCACGCTACGAATAATAGGGACAAAGCAGTAAAGAAAAATGTTGCAAGCACGGGAAATAGTATTCAAACTATTTTCACGCGTATGAAGTTGATTTTGTGGCGTCGAACCTTGGACCAGGCGTACGGCTAGGCGGGGACCCCTCCCTGGGAGCTGGAAGCGCATGTCCAGGCCGCCGTTTACAGATGGATGGCGGCCCAGAAAGAGCGGGGGGAACACCCCGCCTTCGAGGAGAGGGAGGCGGTTCGGTGCGAGGCTCGCGAAACTGTGGTCCAGCAGTGGGCAGACCACCTCGCCGTTGCCGAGTCGGGCCGCCGAACCTTGGATGCGCTGGCGCCGACCATAGAAAGGTGGCTCGAGCGCCCGCACGGGTACCTTTCCTTCCATTTGGTACAGATGTTGACCGGGAACGGATGCTTTGGCTCATATCTGTACCGCATTGGAAGGGAAGAGACGCCGTCCTGCCACGCGTGTCGCGGCGGTGCGGAGGACACGGCGCACCATACCCTTGCGGTATGTCCGGCGTGGGCTCCGTAGCGCAATACGCTTATCGCGGCGGTGGGCCGGGACATTGTGCTGCCCAGTATAGTCAAAACTATGCTGGACAGCAACGAGGCCTGGATGGCAATGGCCTCCTTCTGTGAAGACGTGATGTCTCAGAAGGAGGCCGCGGAGCGAGAGCGCGAGGATGATCCAAACGCGCCCTCGCTCCGACGACGGCGGAGGGGTCAGAGGAGGCGACAATATGATCGCCTCCAGTTTCCTCTCCTCGGTGATGGCCAGCGGGCCGGGGGCGTGGGGGCGCCCCCGCCTGCATTGCACAGGTCACCACCACCGTCGGACGGGAACAGCTGTGTGCTTCCAGCTGTTCCTGCCGCCCCCCGTCCTGGGGGGCTTGTAGGGCCCGCCGTGTAGGCGGGCAATCGCCGGGAGGGGCTGTGGTAGAGAAGGCTGTAATACCTCAAGGGTGGTCCCATTTAAATTTAATAATAGAAAAAACAACCCCCAAGGGTGGAAAATTGGGGATGAACTTTTTTATACGCAATATCTCCGCCGATTATAAATCAATTTGAACGATTATTTTTTGTTGAATAGGTATTATCAAAAGGGTGGTTTCATGCGAATTTGAACAAAATATTTCACCCCCAAGGGTGGAAAATTGGGGATGAACTTTTTTATACGCAATATTTTTAATTTTTAGTTTTTTTTTGTGTTCACGCATTTGAAGTCGGTTTTATTTTTTTTAAAAGTTAATTATCGATACAGTAAGTCGAGGGGCCCCACCACTTAAACACAACTCCGCCGAAGTCGAAAACCTAGGATAGTATTAAGTAATGGGCAACAAATGAAGCCATTAAAACAATAAAATCTTTTGTAGGAATTATTTTCGATTTAAAATCTAATTCTATGGCCTAAACGTTACGAAAATGAATTAACTTCCACAATATCGAAATTTGACGACTGAATGTGTAAACCAAAATAAGGCGAAGTTTTGAGGTGGTTTGAGTTTTGTTGCATAAAAATAATCTTTAACATATTATTGTTTTTTTTTTCTTTTTTTTAATCGGGAGTGCTGGGCCCCTGGTCATAGTGGGCCCCTAGGCACTGGCCTAAAGTGCCTTATGGATAATACGGCACTGGCAAAATACCAATAATATACTAATCATCACTTAATATGCTAGTAACAGCTTAATAATCATCTATAATGGTAATTTATCCAATGGATAATATACCAAAAATCAAAATACCAATCAGTTTAGGCGTGAAAACAATAAATATACAGGGTTATTCCGCACGTAATAATATTAGCATAACTAATTAAAGGTATAAACTGACGATGTATAATCGCCCAAACGTAGAAGTCGGCCGTTTGGTGTAGTGGTTCAGAACGGACTACTATGCCGAGAGGTCCCGGGTTCGATTCCCGGCCGGGCAGAAATTGAAATGATGAATTTTAATTTCTGTGACGGGTCTGGGTGTTACTATGTATAATATGTATGTATTTAAAAAAAAAAAAAGTATACAAGTAGTATATCCGTTAAGCTAGCACCCATAACACAAGCATTAAGTTGCTTACTTTGGGGCTAGCTGGCGTTGTGTGAAAAGTGTCCAAAGATTTATTATTTATTATTATTTAAACTCATCAACAAAATAACCAATTTGTGTCTGATTTAAATAATCCCTCCTTCCTTATCTATTTAAGCCTGTGATTTAACCAACAAGTTTCGTGAAAAATGTAATCTTACCTGTGAACAAGGACAAACCCCTTTTGAAGTAAAGCACGTCATAGATTAACGCCTAACTGTCGAGGGCACGCCATGATAATGCCATTGAAACGTAATGGGACATGGGAAGTAGCTAGTAACGAAAATGCTCAGTATAAAAACGTATCACTGGACCGATTTAGCAGCTAAAATCTTAAAAAATTGGTGTATCATGCCCCGGTTTTTTAATTTAGATTTTTAGACTCTGAGCGTACCTATTCGTTTTTTACACGAGTAAGTATGAACTTTTCATACTAAGTAGAAGATGAGCCATTGGAACTTAATGGGACATGGGGAAGTAGCTAGTGTTGAAAATGCTCAAAAATAATGAGTAGTTATAAAAAAATACCACTGAACCGAGACCCTTCTCGGTACCTAGTTAGTTAACAGTTTCATAATGTTTCGACGACTCTTTTATAATGCGAACAGCTAGGGACTGGAATCGCTGCCTGCTGCTATATTTCCTGAACACTATAATCCGGACCTTTTCAAGGCGAAAGTGAATAGGCACTTACAGGGCAGATATGTACCATCCTAGACTGCATCTCAATTAACACTGCGATTGCGGTCAAATGCCTGCCTTGTCATGCATAAAAAAATGTGAATCAAGAAGTAAGTTGTATAAATATTTCGACATAAACGCTCTACCGCATGAAAAACTCTACCGAGTGTAGGTAATTATTGCCATTAAACTCATATTATATTTTCCCTGTAAAATAAATTGCGCTTGGATGAAAACATATATTTTAAATGCAAATATAAATGCATAATAATGACTTAAAACAATAACGTGTTGGTTATTTACATTATTTTTTGTGTAATTTATTCATTTACAGCAGTAGACTTGTGAATTTTCTAAGCCTGAGTTGCACCACCTAACTTTGACCGTAACTGAAAATGAAAATGAAAATGAAAATGAAAATGAAAATATTTATTGCCAGAATCAAACAATACAATAACTAAAAGACAGACCTCCACACTAGGCATTGCCTGTCCTGTGGAGGAGAGAATAACGATTAACAGGTAGAATTAAGTACGGCTAAGCTGAAGCGTTATTTAAGGAACCAATAAATCGAAAATATGAAAAGTACACAGAAGACGAAAAGGCATCAGGGATGGATGTAGGGTGTGTGCTGTTGTGTGTAAAAGTGTAGATGTGTTGTGTATTAGTGTGTGTGTGTGTGTGTGTGGGGGGGGGGGAGTATTTTCTTCTTCAATTATTTATTCTAATAAATTCTTCAGACTCATCATATGTCCAGTTCATCAGGGTCCGTGAGACGAGAACCTTTGCTTCTCTGACCGTGCAGTATTTATAATCACACAACCTGACAAGTTTATTGTAGATGTGTGGGAAGAGGAAGTTACCAAAACGCCGAGCAAATGAAGTTTTTACAGCGGGGCAGGGAACTCTAAAAACACGCTTTTCGAGCAATTCGCCGTAACAATCAGAGTTCAGAACAGATTTGTGCATGGACACAGCAACCCTTAAGTAAAAGAGTCTTCTGACGCTGAGAACCTCGGCATCCCTGTATAAGGCCACTGTCGAGTATCGGATAGGTTTCCTTAGCGCCACTTTTAAAACTGCTCTTTGGGCTCTTTCGAGAGATATAAGAGTAGTAGATGCCGCTCCACCCCAGGCTCGAATACAGTAACCCAAGACAGACTGACCCAAAGCCATGTATACAGATTTCAGGGTTGTACCATCAATTGAGTCCCGAAGATTTCTCATTACGTAGATTAGTTTCCTAACTCTCCTTGACATAGCACCGATGTGATCTCTGAACGTAAGTTTATCATCCAATATCACCCCCAGATACCTGATAGTCTCCGATTGTTCGATTTGTTCGCATTTGCAGGTGCCACTGTGAGAAAGAGATGGGCAGCAGATTGAGTGAAGTTTCAAAGATTGCCCTTCCAAGGGTGCCGATGCAGCAGTTTTATGAAAGCGGAGAAACTATAACGATAACCGGTGGTATTTGTATAGAGTTTGACAGATTTTTGACGTTTTGTCAAAGTTAAAGTAAGATGGTGCAACTCATTCTAAGAAAAAGGTCGAATAAAACTGTCTCATGAAGAAAACTGCCGCTCAAGGGATTCGTCAGTTAACTGAGCCGGTGAAGGGAAAATGATATCCTTCAGGATCCATGAAATTGATTTCAAGTTCAAGTAGCTGACCCTAATCTTGTAAGGCTGACTGCACCTTTCCAGATTGTTTTGGAAACTTCTATACAGGGTGTCCCATAATGGGTGAATCAAACTGCTAGGGGAGGTAGGTAGCTCTACTAATAGTAATAGTACATTAGTAGAGCTACCTCCCCTAGCAGTTTGATTCACCCATTCTGGGACACCCTGTATATTACTGGTGCTTTACGTCAGAGACACCGGGTTTTATCTCCACACATTATAAATGTTTTTGTGATGTATAGGTATTTGTTTTTTTTTCTTGCTCCAAATTAAGCCCTACTTAATTTGGAACAAGATGACATAATTCAGGATGTTACAATTTCGAAATTTTAACTTTTACAATTTTGTCTACAGGTATTAACTAAACGCCGGTGATGTCAAATAACATTTCGGCGAAGCCGTTCTGGGAATAGAAGGAACGAACCTAAAAACGTAAGTGCAATTTTATGGTATTATTAACCTTACTTATTATGTGCTTTTTGACAGGTTTTTGTGTGTGTCTGTGAAATGTATATTTCGGAAAAATCATTTAACACTTAATTGTATGCATGGGACTTACGAACTGGATTATTGTTAGTTCTAATACAAAACCTAAGACAAAAATATCGTACCTATTGAGCTAACTACAAACAGTTTTTCATTTGTTTCCCTTTTCTATTTTTGAATTGACAGTTCTATATTTTTTCTTAGTGTGTCGCCAGTTTGCCAGCATGCCAGTTCTGCAGTGTCGACTCGGAATTGGCTTTATGCACAACTTTTCCGTGCAGTCTGAAACGGAATAGAACCCGTACCTAGTTTTCATTCCAGTAACCCCTCCCGCGCCCCTCGCAACCCTACTCCCGCGTTTCGTAGTTTAAGGTACATCTAAACGTTTCAAGCCGAAAAATAGGCTTATTTCACTGTTCCCCGTTGACAATCCCCGTCAACGGGGATTAGTGAACTTTTTGTTCACTATTCCCCGTTAACGCCAAATTGGAGCTTATAATGGGGAATAATCAACTAAAAAGTTCATTAATCCCCATTACTTTAAAAATAAAATCCTAATATAACGGGGATCAATGAACTTTTTAGTTCATCAAATTGGCGTTA